AAACTTTTTTTAAATTAACTGGTCCATTTTAAGTGTATTTATTTGGCTAGGTACTTCTGCTTTTCTTTTTAATTATATAATTTTCGGTGCTCCATATATTCAGACTGTTTCTTGCCTCAGTGGATCTTTTTGCTTATTATCTTTTTCACACTCAGATCAGTTACAGAGTTTTGTAATGTCTTGGTCGAGGACTCTTCAGCAGTTCTGTTTCCTGCTGAAGCTGGTTTTCAACCAAGTGAATATAACATAGGTCATGCAGTTTAAATGGCTGTTCTTGCCACTCAGCAAACATACCATACTCCCCTGGTATGTGCCCCTTTACTCACAGGTTATCCACTGCTTTATTTAAAGTCTAATCAGGTTCAGTGTGTGACCTTGCTTTTTTTCAGCTGTACCATAAAGTAAGAGTGCCATAGTGGARGCTTTTTAATCTGATCAGACCACAGTAGTTTGTAAATGACTGTAAACATTTCTTTTTATCCTAACCTTGCTCATTTCTGCAGTGAATCACTTTATTATTCCCCACTTTCTAATCAGTTATTAATAATTTAATGAGATGTTTCTGAAAATTAATTTTCAGTTGTCTATTTGCAGATGTAAGCTCTTTGTTTTTATGTGACAGTAGTAAATTATCCAAGAATTTTTATTTGTTTATTTTTACACTGCCCTATAGTTGGCGATGACCTCCAATCGTTTCATCTCTGTGTGCACCCAAAGCAGATACGGAGAAGTACTCCCACAGAATAGAAATGACACTGTCTGATGTCTTTGCCCCACAGAATGGATTTTGCTGATGAAATATGATTTCATTCCCTTCACTTCATTGACTTCACTAAAACGTGTGGCTTGGTGTCTAATCCATTTCGAAAAGCCTGGGATGAATTTTTAATTGCCCAAACTTAATTAGACCATTTTGAACTATTGAGAAAAAAAAAAAGAAATTCTGACATGAATAAATAAATAGCCATTTGATTTTGCACGAGGAAGATGGTTTGCGAAACGATTCACATAATCTCGCCTGTCRCTTAGTGCTGCTGCTTTATGAGCTGCTTGTCCTTACTGCCGTTGGATGGGACTACATCACCCTCCTCAAAGGTCAGCCACCAATCAGGTGGTGGGAGCAGCTGCTCCCCCAATCGCCTCATTAAATGATTGACTGTCCCTGGTGCCTCTGCCTTTTCATTTTATTCCTACATTGTATACATGTGAAGGAGTACACTGTATGACCAAATGAATTAAGGGTTGTAATCCTATTATTTGAGCTCATTTTTCTTGTTCAACTTTGTATTTTAACTTAGAGGTGGAGGTSTCATTTTGTCTTAGAAATAGATTTTCCTGAAATAGGCAGATGGTTCTAAAGTGGGTGTGTATTTATTTGGAGCACAGACCCTACATTAATATATTGTGTTTTCTTCAGAGATGATCATTTTTAATGTATTATTCACCTTCGGTCACAGTGTGAGGATTACTGTCAGTGAGAAAGCTAAAAGCGTTACTGAGAATACAGAATAAATATAAAAAAGTGTTGCTACAATTGCAAMTAAAGGACAGTTATATGGTGCATTTTAAACATAAATGAAACCCATGTGTTGAAGAAAGTTTCACCTGAAATTCTTTACAAACCTTTGGTTCATATTAAAACACTCGAACATTCAGCATCAGCAACTGTAGATAAATACTTATATGTAACCAATGCAGAAATTTACAAAACAGTCACTTTTAATTCATATTTATTTTTTGTCCAGATGTTTGTTCAGCAAATTAAACAAATTAAACAAATTTTAAATAAAATTTGTCGATTTCTTGCACTCATATCTAGTGTGACATACCTTTTTATAGGTTTTACTTTTTTGTACTTTATACTTTGTTCTGTCTGATTTGTTGTCAGATGGAGATACACCACAATTTTAAGACTTAAAAAWACATCTTTATCTTTCTTCCTCATCTCCACAGCTGGACACTGTTTGATTATTGAGTTAGTGGTCATTGATGTTCAGCTGAGTTGGRCTGAACCAGCTGKAGAATTTAGTGACAAATTTAAAGAGTATTTATTTTAGTTTGTAATTAAGAGAGTCGAACGTTTGTTTAGGACAATATGCAATTAAAACATAAAAACATTTGATGCATTGCACCAGATTTAGCCTAAGRCTAATTTACATCTGTAGTAAGTTTGCACCCCACTTTATAACTAAATGGATAAGCTGCTCCACTTGTTTTACTGAACCTATGAGCATGGTCAAATTATTAATAACATGGTAACACGAAGTATTTGTTTTCTAATACATTTTGTGTTTTGTTTCTTTTGTTTTTTTAGGGAGAGTTTGATCGACAAACGTATTGAAAGTGCTGTCTCTCAGATGCAGTCTGTGATTGAGCTGGGCAGAGTGATTAGAGACAGGAAGACCCTGCCTGTCAAGGTATATCACCATTAACTCATTAAACACCGCTCCGCGAGGTGCACTCAAAGTACTTGGGGGGCTGTGTTAGAGTGGTTAAAAGGAGTCGTCCTGTAACCAGTGGGTTGCTGGTTCGATCCCCTGATCTATTTGTCTTAGTCGTCATGACCTTGGGCAAGACACTTCACTTTACCATCAGTGTGTGTGCAAATGGGTGAATGAAGTGTGAAAACGCTATTCGAATTCAGGCCTTTTTACTATGAGAGGAGCAAAATTTAAGTAAGAAGTTGTTTGCATTTTTTTATTTGTTTWATTTGTGTAAAGCTTTTTGTACTACATTTACTTTGTCGTTCTTGTATTGTAGAGAAAAACTGAAACCAAATCTGGATTTTGCTGAAAAACTTGCCCCAAAAAAAAAAAAAAACACAAGTCCAACATTAAATTAGCAAAAATGAAACCTTATGATTAGTTTGTAAAATACAATAATTAATTTATATTCATCAAAACATGCTGTGGTACACTGTTAACATATTTTTTTATGTGTTTCAGTACCCACTGAAGGAGGTGGTAGTTATCCACCAAGACCCAGAGGCCCTGAAAGACCTCCAGTCTCTGCAGAAATACATTCTTGAAGTAAGTGAACTCTGTAGGGTCGCAAGTTGACAGAGTTCTTTTCCTCTATAAAGAGTTTTGCTCGAATCTATTTTGGCTGATTTCCTGTTCTTTGATCAGTACTGTTAAACATACAGTTTGAGGAAACGTTTCCTAGAACCATGTTCAGATTTCAGAGCCACTTCAGAGCATGTTGACTGTATATGGAGGAGGGGTGGTGAACATCAGAGGAAGTACATCTTTACACGCTKTCAGTCGTAGTGGAAATTAGTTTCTGCCTCATTCAGAAAAGCGTGTGAAGCAGATATGTTGGAAAAAATTCCCATTTGCTTCCTCGCTTACATGAAGATATATTTAAATGGAATCAGGTAGATATTGCTTTGATGTTTCTCCAAATAAAACAAACCTAATAATTATTTTGTAGTCTTTATTCAGAAACAATTATATATATTCCATCTTTAAAATCTTATGTTGGTTTGAAAAGTTCTGCGTTAAATTTCTGCAAAATGGAATCTGTTTGGATTTATTATAAAAGCTCCGGTTTTATGTAGGTATCATTCAGCAAAAAATATACTTATTCATCAGACAGACTAATCATTAAACCATTTAATTGCAGGGGGCAAATAAACTGGCAGTTCTGCTGGAACAATGCCTGTTTCAATATTCTCATTGGCTACTTGCCTCCACATTTTCCTTATCAAGAAATATGTCACCTATAGGGTTTGTTACTATTACTTTCTCTTGAAATTCTGTTATGGCTTTAGCCAGTAAGGGCTCTATGTGATTTAGACGACAATTTGACTCCAGTTCTTGGTTCTATATGATGGTGTTGAGGACCGTTGACTTAACCTTTACAGGTTGTTACACATGACAACAGAGCTGTTGTTGGATCCTGCAGGCTTTATCTTTGTTCAAGCCTTTTATTATCCACCAGCATGTTTCTTTTCTGCTCAGGTGGAAAGGTTTTCACTACACCTTGGTAAACATGGTTTATCTGACCAAAACGGAGAGCTGCAGCCCAGAGAGAAGTTCTCGAACTCAGAGTGTGCATTGTGTATCAATCAAGTGTCATTAAGTTTTTGCTTGGGATGCAATTAATTTAATAAAGCGATTTGTTTAAAACTCCTGAAAAATGTCTGTTTGAGCTACAGAAGACACCAACACTGGTATACTTTTGGTTTTGTGATTTTGTGCTAAAGAGTAACAAAGCTTTAAAAATAGACCTTCATTAAAGTTCATTACAAAATGCTAGATGCAGCAGTTTAGAAATGCGCATTGGTCAGGCCATTGATGGCACAAATGATACTTTGTACGTCAGTTTCTTCTGGCCAAACATGCATTTGATGAACAGTCTCAATGTCAGGATGGAAAAGGTCATCCGCAAACTGGCACTAGGAGCTCTTCCATCTGAATTTCAGCTTTCCTCAGCTTTCCTTCACTGACATGCCTCTCGGTGTTGTCTCTGATGGCAGAGTCTCTACTGAGCTCAACATGCTCTGTAGAATATCAGATGAGTCACTGTTTGTGCTGACAGTAGGCTCCAGTTCATTGTAATGTGCCCGTACACTGTATGTTACCGCTTTCAAAGTCATCACACACACAATACCGAATTTATCCTGAAAATAAGCGGGTTATTTTYGTGAAATCAGTGCTCTTATTGAATCTTGTAACCTAGCTCAGATTTTTCAACCCACGCTGCCTTTTAACTTCATCACTCAGCCTGCCGCGGTGGCCTGTCTGTGCTCATTGTCAAAAAGTTAACTCTGCCAGAACTCTGCCTCAACCTGAATAGTGTGATTGACTGAAAGGAGGAGAGGATAGCAGGCCTGTCAGTAAGGTTATATTTAGGATSTCTATTGTTTCACCAGATATGATTGTATCACAGGTTTCTCTGCTTTTTGGCTGAAGAATAAAATATGGACTGGATCAGAGAAATGTTTCACTGAGAGGGGAGAAAAAAAAGCAACTCCATTTTATGGCTCATTCCCTGTTTGAGTGAATGTTTCTTTGTGATCAGTTTAGATTTGGTTTTTGAATTTGTTGCTCTGCAAACTTAGCTTTGCATGCGTATAGTTTTATCTGCATAGTTTTAATATTATTTTATTGTTAGTTTTTAGTCATTTTGTTGAAGCAACAAAGTTAGGTTCTCATGTAGKGCTGCCACAAACGATTATTGTTATAGTTGACTAATCAATTATTTTTTCCGATTAATCGACTAATCGGATCATACGTTAATTTAATATAAAACATACAGCTTATTGCGCCAGAATGCAGCTGCTATTACTGTATATAAGCATCATTAGATTTTAGCTACAGTTGTGGTCAAAAGTTTACATACACTTGTAAAAAAACAT